TACATTGAAATTATAAAATTACAATTCGATCCATGTGACTTATCATTTTTTTTAAAAAAATCATCGAGCCCCAAATCAGAATTCTCGTCGGCGCCTCTGAGCTTCAATCCATCTGGGAAGCGCATCTTTGCCACCATTGAATCGCTTGACCGTTCTGAGACATGCAACAACCTCACATGCCGACCACATCCTCACGATTTTGGTGTTGGTTTCAGTTTCTTGTTCATCGATTTTGGTTTTGATTTTGGTTTCGGTTTCTTGTTCATCGATTTTGGTTTTGATTTTGCTAGTCTATTCATTGCGCTTGCGGAAGTGGTACTCCCCGAGCTTGACAACGTCGGTGATTTTCTTCTTGGGCGGACGATTTCAGCCTCCAAAGCTCGCGGTCAAGATGTGCTCGGAGGTGATTTTGATTGCGGTCGTAGTTCGCAGACCGAACTGGAGAGAGCGGGTGGATGGCGACATTGATTGGAGAGACGGTGGCGACGACGGCGGGCGACGAGCAGAGTTGTGACCAGTGGTGTGTGTATGTGTGTGTTGTGTGTGTTGTGAGTTTGCGTGTGTGTGAGAGAAGGTAGAGTGTGTGGGGTGGGGCCTGCTGGTAGAAGCGATTGTGGATATTGTCCAATTTACCCATAATAAGTGTAAATGCTTGGTGTTTTTAGCTGTTGCATTATCCGACAGATGCCTACAATGTATTCTTATTTCTTTCACTGAACATCATTCCATAAAATCCCTTGTCATCCAATGATTTTATCTTCCTAACCCATACGTAATTCTTGATTAACCATTGATACAAATCCACATATCAACAAAGATAACTAATTGTGAACTCTTTCGGGTCAAAGATTCTTACAATAAATGCAGTAACAGAAGCAGGTGATTGGTATGCTCAAAATTGTGGCCTTTGGGCGGAACTGGATACAAATATATGCATTTTTTTTTAATCATGGTTAATTTTAAAAAAAGGTGGTCTTGTTAGTTGTTAGTTGTATTTTACGTTTATATTAAAATAATATTTAAAATAAATAATTAAAATTGATTTGATGTAAGTGTATGAGACCAGAGATTTTTTGTTAAAATTATATGAGTCAATTAATATGAATTTATCGATATATATAATAAGAATAAGATTAATTCGTTCGTGGAAAGTATTCCCCAATAAAAACATTAATTACCTACAATAAATAGTAATAGTCTAATTCATTTTACATAAAAAAACAAAAAAAAAACATTAGTTACATTCGTTCAGTCAATTCATTCATTTATTTACGTTGATAGATGTTTTGTGTAGGATTCTCTTTTATTTTTTATAATATTTGCATAATCATCGGTATCTCCTATATCTGCACTAGGGTCGAACCGAAAGCACTCCGAACTGAAAAATAACCGTTAACCGTTTGAATTTCTCTGAACCGAACCAAACCGAAAAAATAATTGGTACAGTTCTGGAGATTTCACAAATATTCGTACCGAGAACCGAACCGAACCGTCTCATACCGTACCGAACCGAAGAACCAAAATTAAGAACCGAATTATAACATTAGATGTGTTATTAATATATTTTATGTCACCTTTGATCCTTTATAATATAGTAATAATAACTATTAACCTTCACTTAACTTTCATGCTTAGTAATATTTGATCTACAACTGAATCTTTTCTATTATAAAATAATTATTTAAAATAATATGAAAGGTTAAATAATATTTTTATAGAAAAAAATATTATAATTTGTTTAAATTTCAAATTTTCAATATTAGTTGCACATATTTAGTCTCAACTAAAATTTAGAGTTACTTCTAAAGTTGATTTCAAAATAAAATTTTTAATATGAGAAAGTAGCGCTCATCGCCTTCCGATCGAGCACCTTCCATTCATCGCTCATCTTCTCGGCTTCTCCCCAAGAGGCACGTAGAGGTCCTTCCCCTACAGGTAAGCCTCCATCTGCATTCGCCAGAATCCAAAGTCGGAACCATTAAACCGTTCGACTGGAATATTTCCCTCCATCTTCTTGTATTCCCCACAGAACAAATGTGAGCTATTCATTCGGCAGACAAGGAAACTGACCCTCGAAGGATACGGCATACATGTAGTTTACTTGCTTACTTGTTTCATATCTCTTTCTTTTTTCATTCAACTAGTACAGACCCCGTGCGATGCACGTGGTGCACAAAATTAAGGTCATTTATCAAGTCTTTTAATTATATAAATAAATAAAGAAAAATGTACGGGATATATAGTACGTGACCTGTAATAGGCCAAAATGTGAACACGGGTGATGCACGGGATTCACAATTTTAAGGTCATTTATTAGTACAGAGTCGGTGCGATTATGGGGTGCACAATTTTCTAGTATGTGTAATACAAATACATACCGTATGCACGGGACAAAAGCACTAAATGAGTTATTTCCACAGAGCTTGCCAGTTAAGTAGCTCCTGAACACGGGTGCACAATTTATAGTACGTACAATAAAATCAGAACATATTTCCATACAATTAGATAATAAATAAAGCCTTTTTTTATTTTAGTAAAGATTTTACGTACTTTTTTTTACTTATCAGATGTTATGGGATTTATTTTTTGTTATACCGATTTTATGGGGTATAATACAAATACAATTAGAGGATTGAACAAAATCAGAACAGATTTATATACAATTAGATAATAAGAAGAAATTAGATAATGAATTTTGAATCTACATTTTTTTTAGTAAAGATAGACTTTACATACAAATTTAGACTTCACCGATTTTATAAGATTTGTTTTGACAAAATCAAAGACGAATACTGAAGACTGTTTCTATTAACATTTACACTGTGTATTTAATATTTTTTTTGCAAAATATTCTTTTGAAGTGTGATATATAAATATTAAAAATACTTAAAATATTTTATAACATCTATAAAAGCATCTAAAATATTCTATATTATTCACAAATAATGTTTGAAGCTACCTAAATTTTTCTAAACTACCCGTAAGAAAAATATGTATAAATATTATTCATTTAAGCTCCATATATGTATATATATATATAGAGTGAGCAAATTGTTATCATCCGATTCGGTAAAACACCATTAAGAGGTTCCAAACATCATATTAAGAGGAAGATGACCATTGAATCGACGTAATTTTAACACCACCCCGGTCCGGGCGATGAACCGGACCGAACTACCGAAGACCGAAGTGGTCAGCACCTACCGATGTCTACTTAAACCGAAATCGTCACTTCCTTAAGCAGGTGACAAGGTGCCTACACCTTCCTCTCACATTCCACGAGGCTCATCATCACTCACATGGGGCCCACTGTTTCAAACCGCCCACCAAAAGCTGCTTTATGCGAAAAGTAGTACACAAATCCCAATGTATCCCCCAAAAATTACTATAAATAGTGAATCCATAACATTTGTACGGGGAACTCTCTCCGAACTGAAAAAACATCATTATGCAACACACAAAAGCCCATCACGGCTCTTCACCTCGGACCGGGGCCATTGTTGAGTTATTTCTACATACTTTACGTCCAAATCATTCATAATTCTTATCTTAATCACGTGTTACATCGTTGTTAGAAATCACATAACAACACAAATGTGTAAAAAAATTTATACAAGTAGCTAAAATATTTAGTAATTAGACAGGTGAAATTTAGATTTTTAAAAAATCTATATAGATTTTGGATTTATAATAGTAATTAGACTTTTATTTATTTACCTTTAAAGTTGTTACGATAGAGAGATGCGATTTTTTGACACGGTGGAGATGGAATTTTATAAGTTGGGTTATGAAATTTTTCTTAAACTCATCCATATCTCTGCGATGAGTTTTTTAAGTTAGGTATATAGATTTAAAATTGTAAAAAAAAAAACAAAAAAAAACTTCATAAATCATTTGATTTGGTATTTTCGGAGAGTTTAATTAATTTAAAAGTGTAAAATAAATAAATAAATAAAGTACAACTGAAAAAGTTATAACCAATTGTATGGAGAATTAAACTAAATTCAATTTTGTAGGATGCATTAAATATTGATTAGATTTTATATGTAAAATAAAATAAAAATAACTCGAATAATTTTACGTGTTGCAATATTTTACATTTAAAAAAATTAAAAAATCTTCTTTAACGTATTGCATACCAACATTTTAGGAAATACATGGATATTTCTAAATTAATATTGCATACACAATATTTTAGGAACTAATTAAATGCTAATTTGATTTGCATACCAAAAATATTAGATGCATTAATTAAATGCTTGATAAAAATAGCAAATCATTAATTAGGATTGACTATTCTCCATACTACATTTAGTAAACAGTATAGCTTTTAATATAAGTATAGATGAGAATATTCTTATAGAAAATGAATAGTTCAGATAGAATCGAACTTTCGATCGATCCCGAAGTCAATACTGGCTGGCAGGTTAGCGGGTACTACTACAAACCAAGCTGGATTGATAAATGTTGATTTTATTAAAGCATATAAAAATTAAATAACTAAAATTTAGAGTAACTTCAAAAATTGATTTCAAAATAAAATCTTCAATATGATGAATTATTGATGAATGTTGTTTATTAAAGCATATAAAAAAAATAGGCTTAATTGCCGCCAGCATCACGACCTTTTACATTTTGGACATTTTAACCAAACCTTTGGAAATAGGCAAACATATCACGACCTTGTATAAAAATTGCAACCCGAACCCAATGTCTGTCGACGGTGAATTTTTGACAGCGTGTCCGGCGTCCGTTCCTACGTGGCCTCGACTGCTCGCTGACTTGGCACAACCAAACCGACGTGTTAAAAACCCAAAATACACGTGTGATACACACAAAATAAAAACAGAATCGGGGCCAAATTGATCGGCTAATTCCCCAACTCTAGCCCCAAAATAAAACCCTAATTATTTCTTCCCAAAATTTCGCAGCTAATTCCCTAACCCTAGCCCCAATTCGCAGCCAATTATCCTCAAAAATCTCACCATATCTGTCTGAAAATGTCTTGCTCATCTCGTAGAAGCCAAAATTCCCAAAATAGTGGTGCCTCCAATGCGTCGATACGGAAGCTGTGCCACCACAGTGAAGATGCGATCGTTCTCACCTCCATGACTAATGATAATCCATGTAGGAGGTTCTACAGATGTCCGAATAGAGGTAATGTAATTGCTGTCGAAATTTTTTTTTTTCTGGTGAAATTTTTTTGCTGTCGAATTTTTTTTCTGGTGAAATAGAGAGGAAGAATGTTCATAGTTGCTGTCGAATTTTTTTTTTGGTGAGAATTTGGCTGAGAATAGTATAGGATTTTTTTTGGTGAATTTGGCTGAATTTAGCTAAGTTAATGGTTCATAGTTGCTTTGAATTTTTTTACTGTGAATTTTTGCTTTCGAAATATTGCTTCGAGATTTGTCTTTCATTGATATGCAGAAACCTTGTCGCTTCTTTGAATGGATCGATCAATCATTGCCCGCGTTTCAAAGGACATGCTTCATAAGATTGAAGGCTGAAAAACATGATTTGGAAGAAAAGTTGCGGGACATGGAAAAATTTCACAATCACAGATCGAGTTTGAAAGAGGATGTTGAAGGTGACAAGAATTCTGAAATGATTTTGGTTCTGGAGAAGACCATAACTCAAGTGAAAAACCTTGAAAGGAAAATGAGTGTTTTTATGGTTTCTTTGATTGTTGTTGTTTTAGTTCTTGTTGTGAGTGTGTTTGGTAGAAATATGGTCATTTCCATTATCTTAAGATGTTGAACTGAAGTATGTATTTTCTTAGTTTTTTGGTGAATCATGGGGCTATGTTAGGTTGATGTACGTACTGAAATTGGAATCCTCGTATGAAATGTTATTTTGAAGTAATGAATTGATAAACTATCTATTTTATTCATGAGATTGAGCATTTTCTTATGTTAGTTTGAGCATTATGTTATGTTAGGTTCATAAACTATCTAGCTTTTTTTGTGTAAATTGATCAACTAAATCACAGAAGAATGTAAATGGCTTATGTAAATTCATTTGCAAAACATTATACATCACAAGATCACATGATTCATTATCAAAACCACAAAACACATAGTTGAAATTCCATATCCATAACAAAAGTTTCCAAACATCCACAATTGTTCCAAATCCCAAAAACAGCATAACATATCCCTAAGATCAGTTCAACAATACCAAATTTTTTCAAAAGTATCCCAAAAGCACCATAACATTACCAAGTCTGTTCTTAGTTCAGACTGCCTGTTCAAAATACCACATCAAACACTAACACATCATCATCAAGTCTCACTCTCTTGAGTGCATATAAAGTCCCCTGCTTGTTGTGATGAAGGTTTGGTACCTCTCCCAATTGACCTTTGACCTCTTCCTCTCCCAGTTGACCCACTCCTCTGACCTCTTCCTATCCCAGAGGAACCACTCATTTGCCCTCTACCTCTTAGCAGAGGTTGACCCACTGTGGTGTCCTCTGCTTGAGCCACTGCTTTGACCTCTTTCTCTAGATACCATATGAATATTCTTTCCACTGGACAACTGCATTATAATATTAAAATATTACCTATATGGCTTCTGATAAATTACTTATATTCTTTCAAATAAATGAATTCTTGATAAAAATCATACCTTCATGTAAATATTACCAGTTTCCTCAGACTGCAAGATCCCAAATCCTTTTCTGTCCTGCCAAAGACAAACAAAAAAAAAAAATGTTATCATCCAAAATTATTGGTATAAAATAGTACTATAAAACAATTACCAATGCTCTTTCTTTTTGTATCACTGTTGACCGTTGACTGCACCTCCTAACAATGCCGGGAACATCAACGACTGCTCCGGGACACTCCATCATTCCCACGACTCCCGCGAACCGGCAGAATCCACCAGCGCGACAAGACGGCGGAAGGACAACATCTCACGCTACATCTCAACCTCGTGATCGAATGTCACAACCGCCTCCGGAACAAAGTACGCGTCGCACCGACGCCAGGCGCAATCCTCCTGTACTTCTTCAAGAAGAAACTGCCGAAAGCCAGTCGGGTTATTCACGACGGACACCGCCTCACGCACAGCGCCGAAATCCCTCCAATCCGGCGCAGACCGACCTTCGTCAGCATATTGAGCGAAATCGGGCTCGTCAAGAGTCATCCGAACTTAAAACACTGCGACGAAGAATAGCCGAGGTGGAAAGTCGGCAACGAGCACCTGAAGATCCACCTCGGCGGGCCCCCACCTCGGCACAAGTGTATTTGGAAGCCGATTCTCCCCTTACTCCGGAACTCACTTCGGAACCAGTTCCTGGAAAAGTTAAGGTCCCCCAGATCGGGCTATATGATGGAACATCTGACCCTGACTCACACCTCGGTCATTATACTTCATGGATGGATCTGCACGGGGCCTCAGACGCACTTCGGTGTCGTATGTTTTCACTTACACTAGGGCCTCGGGCCCAAAAATGGTACCATTCTCTTCCTCCTCATTTAATTTGGAAGTGGCAACAACTAAGGTCGGCTTTCCGATCTCATTTTATCGGGGCTCAAGTATGCCTCATCCCAAAAGAGTCTCTCGCGAATGTCACTCAAAAAGATGATGAAAGTGTCAAGGATTATATTGCCCGTTTCAATGACCGAGTTCAGAATATGGAGCCATGTCATCCTGAAACTTTGCTTGTCATGGCTATTGCTGGATTGAAACCGAATTCGATTTTCCGCTGGACATTATGCCAAAATAAACCGAACACTTTTCAAGAATTTCTCGCTCGAGCCCTGCAGCACATTATAGCGGAAGAAGCCATGTCGGTTCCCGATTTTAACTTTAACCCGAAGTCTTCTAAAGCGGGAACCGACGAAAAAATGAAGAATAAGTTTTTTGACAAGCAAAATAAGACTCAATTCAGGGGGCCTCCCCGAGGAGACCCCAATGATCCTGAAGTCAGAGCGGCCCGAAAACAGTACGCAACCGACGTGAAGTCCGGTTATCAAACGGTGTATTCTGCAGGGGAAGCCACTATTTATGAAGAAATCAAAGGGAAGGGCATTTTGCCAGATCCCAAGCCACTTCGGATGCCTGAAGAAAAACTGGACAAATCCCGATATTGCGATTATCATAAGTCGCCAGGGCATAACACGGACGAGTGTTTGAGTTTGTTGGCCGCATTGTTGCGTTTAATCGGCCATCCACAGCTTAGAAAATTTTATCGTAATACTGATCCCTAGAGGCGAGGTCCTGGACGACAGATCGAATCCTTTGATGATGAAGACGATGAGGAGGACCGAGGTACTATGACAAAACGCATCCGACAAGGAGAAAAGGAAGTATTCATGTTCACCTCGGAGAAGTCCGATTCTAACTCTGCTGGCACTTCCCGAGGACGTAAACGAGATAGGTCTCCTGAACCAATGCAAATCACCGTCCACCGGGTCAATACCAACAACCCCCGGAGTACGTTGTCCCGTCGACAGGTCAAGGCATATGCCCGACAAGCGCACAACTCCGGCAAACAGGTTTACACTACCGATTTGAGAGATATTCTCAACAGTCGAAATTGCCCCATAACCTTTAATATGGAGGATGCTAATCATTTCGCCCATCCTCATTCCGACGCACTGGTTATTACCGTTCCTATATGCGGTATTCCTGTTCATCGTGTCATGGTGGACACTGGGGCCTACTCAAGCATCTTGATGTTGAAAGCTTTTGACAAGATGGGTCTTGACCCTGCCGAAATACGACCCTGCAACGATCAAATCCAAGGGTTTAATGGCAGTATCTCAAAGCCCATCGGAGAAATCACTTTACCTGTCAGATTTGGCACCTCGGAGAATGTCACCAAACTTGTCATGGAAACTTTTAAGGTTATGGATATTAATAATGAGTACAACGCCATCATCGGCAGAACGGCATTGTACAAACTTCGAGCTGCAGTTTCTATCTTTCACTATGCATTAAAGTTCCCGACAACCCGGGGAGAAGGAACCCACTTCGGAGATCAAAGAGAAGCTCGACAACTTGTTACGTATATCCCATCCAATGGAGTTCATTCGACTTCAATGGGTAATAATAAAGCCTCCCCACAGCAGCACGCTTCAGACGATGCGGTGACTGAAGGACCAAAAAACCACGTCGGCGATCCTTCCACCTCGGATCCTTTAACCGAAGACCGAGGTCGCCGACCTGGAAAAAAGCCACTCCTTGAAGAAGACGAGTTGGACCCCAGAGCATTGTTTAAAGAAAAAAGTCGAGCTGATCGAGCCGAACCTGGAGAAGACGTGGAATTGGTCTATATCGATGAACCAGTCTTCCACAAGTCATTGCGCATCGGAAGTCATCTTCAGGAACCATTTCGGTCAGAACTTATCTCGTTTCTCAAAAAGAATTCTGACGTTTTTGCCTGGAAGCACGAGGATATGAAGGGCATCAACCCTGGTGTCGCTAGCCACAAACTAAACCTCGATCGAACAGCCCGGCCTGTTGTGCAAAAGAGAAGGAAACTAGGGCCGGATCGTCAGAAGGCGTTGGAAGAAGAAGTCAAAAAACTAATCGACAATAAGTTCATCAAGGAAGCCAAATACCCGACGTGGGTCTCAAATCCTGTTCTTGTCATAAAGAGCAACGGGTTATGGAGATTGTGTATTGATTTTTCCGACCTCAACAAGGCATGTCCAAAGGACAGTTATCCACTTCCCTACATAGATTATATGGTTGATGCCACGTCGGGGCATGAGTCGATGAGTTTCATGGACGCTTACTCCGGCTACAATCAGATTCCTATGGATCCCGAGGATTCTGAACACACTTCATTCTATTCGGCCTGAGGTCTATATTGTTATACTATGATGCCGTTCGGATTAAAGAATGCCGGAGCCACATATCAACGTCTTGTCAACAAAATGTTCGCAACACTGATCGGCCACACTATGGAAGTTTATGTTGATGACATGCTCGTCAAGTCGGTGCACGCCTCTGATCATATAACACATCTTCAAGACATGTTCGCCATCCTCCGATCTTATTCCATGGTGCTGAACCCTAAGAAATGTACTTTTGGAGTTGAATCCGGAAAGTTTCTGGGCTATATGGTTAGCCAGCGTGGGATTGAAGCCAATCCGGCCAAAATAAAGGCCATTCAGGATCTAACTCCCCCAACCTCGGTCAAGGGTGTTCAGGCCCTAACTGGCCGACTTGCTGCACTCAACCGGTTCATCTCCAAGTCTACAGATCGTTGTAAACCTTTTTTCGAAGCAATCAAGAAAGGGAAACATTTTGAATGGACCGAAGAATGCCAAAAAGCTCTTGACAGTATCAAAGAGATGCTTGTCTTTCCCCCGACTTTGCAAAAGCCGAAACTCGAAGAAATGTTGTTCTTATACCTCGGAGTCAGTGATTCTGCTATTAGCGCTGTGTTGATACGCGAAGAGGGATTGCTGCAATCACCCATCTATTACGTCAGCAAAGCCTTGCACGATGCTGAACTACGTTATCCTCCGATGGAAAAGTTGGCGTTTGCACTTGTCATTGCAGCCCGGAAATTGCAGCCTTATTTCCAAGAGCATTCTGTAACTGTTCGCACTTCGTATCCACTTCGGCAAATCCTGCACCGACCTGACACCTCGGGACGCATGGTTAAATGGGCCATTGAGCTAGGACAATTCGATATCCATTATCAGCCGAGGACCGCGATCAAGGCTCAAGTCTTATCTGACTTTATCGCTGAGTTTACCCCGGCCATCACAGTTCATTATAATAATCAACCATGGGTCCTCTATATTGATGGCTCCTCGACAGCTAACCGAGCGGGTGCAGGGATAGTCTTACCTGATCCAGAAAATCGGTTATTCTGCCACTCGGTGAAGTTTCTTTTCCCGGCAACAAACAATGAAGCCGAATACGAAGCGCTGCTATCCGGATTGAATTTGGCAGAATCCATGAACGTGACCCACCTCAAAGTCTTCTCAGACTCCCAGCTCCTTGTCAATCAAATCAATGGTTCATATGAAGTCAAAGAACCTCGGTTGACACCCTATCTCTCTTTGGCCAAACGAAAATTGTCAAAGCTCTCTGTAGAAGTTGAGCACATCCCCCGGACTCTTAATGTTCAAGCAGACGCCTTATCTCGGTTAGCATCCAGCACCGGGATGGAAAGCGCGGAGTATTTCCAAATTGGCCAGCAAGAGCAACCATCTACTACACTTCCCGAGGTTGCAACAATCAATCCGGTGATACCACAGAAACCGCCGACTTGGATGGATCCTATTATCCTTTATTTAAAAACTGGGGCCTTACCCCCGGATCCAAAAGAAGCTCGAGCACTTCGGATTCGAGCAGCTCGTTATACACTGGACGACGGAACTTTATTTAAAAGGGGATACTCCGTCCCACTTTTAAAATGCGTGAGTGAAGCCGATTCACGATACATTCTTGAAGAAGTCCACGAAGGGATTTGTGGAAGTCACCCCGGTGCGCAAGAATTATCTTATAAAATCTTGCGACAGG